ACAATGGTTTCTGTGTTCATCAGTCCACAGCAGCAAAAACACAAAAATGTAGAACCCGAAGGGTTTACAAATTAGGACAATGTTTAGGATACCTGGAATATCCTAATTATGTTTACCCGGGGTCAATGTTTAGGATACCTGGGGTATCCTAATTATGTTTACAAATTAGGACAATGAATGTTAACAGTAGATTGTGGGTGAGAAACCAGTGCCAGGTAATGGAAAATTTCATACACATATTTATTTGGAATCTGGGTGCTTTTCCACAGAAAGCAGCAAGATGTCACAATCTAATACTGATGTGGGGATCTGCCAAGACTATGAAAAAATGAAGGAATAAGAGATCCTAATTATTTTGAAGGCCCATGCAAGGACACAAAATAAAGCCATGTGAAATGCCCTCATTGTTTTGCTTTGTTTTAGGCAGGAAGGACAAACTAAGGTGGTCCAAGAACCACACTGCCCACCTGCAACCGTCTCATAAAGTTGCGCAAAAGTCCTTTCTGATGAACAAACTCTACCTGTCTCCAGCTATTCTAAAGGAAAGGAAAAGGTGTGTGACCCAAGGTTATTATCTTTAGCACACAGATAATTTATTTAGCAACTATTTCAAGAGTAAAACCGTCACTGATTATAGGGGGGCCAGATAAACATTCAAGAAGTACAGTAGCTTTCGAAATGTTATGTAAATAACATGATATCCTTCAGTTTCTTGTGTCTAAAATTATACAGTGCGTGGTTTTAGTTTATGGACACTCAAATTTACCCTGGAATTTTATGCGGATAAGTATTCCTACAATTTTCTACAGGCCGAGGGGACTGATGGGTTTAGCTGGTCTCTCCGTTTATTTGCCAGCCAGCCCTGACTCTAGACTCACTTTTCCCTTATCTATCCTCCATGCTGCCAGAGATGATGCAAAATTGATTATATCTGTCCCTACTCAAAAACTTCAAGGGTCCCCTGAGTTACAGAACCAAGCCTTGGCTTCTCAATTAATGTGGCACAGAGACCCCTCACGGTTTGGTCTCTGTCCTTCACCTCCCACACTACTTCTTGCTGGTACAGGCCAGAAGCATTATCCTGTGATCAGAAGGTGTACCTTTGAGTATCTATTTCCTTTCCCTGGAATGCCTTTTCTCCATCCTTAAGAACCCAGCTGAGGTCTTGCCTCATCAGGATTTGATCTTTCAAAAAGATTTGTCCCTCTCTGGGCCATCTTTATAACTTGTACATACTTCTATTTGTGGACTGCAGAATCATAACATAGCTGTATGTCTGTGATCTCAGCGTGAGCTCCTTGAGGGCAGAGTCTCTGTCTGAATCCTCAGGGTTCTATTGCACCATCCATGCCATGAAAGAACGCTGACACTGATTGGATTGAAAGTGTCTTAAAAATCCCCAGGTGCTTCTGTCCCCTGGGATGTTATGTAGGACTTGGTACTTTAAAAATTAAGGTTTTAGCGTAAAATGGTCTCTCCATAGAAAGTATTATAATTTCAAAGGGTACTAGGTTTTACAATTATTTGACTTTCTTAATCCAGTGTTTGTCATAGAAGAAATAGGGAAATAAGGATGATATGTTTCCCCCTCTGAAAATGGTGGGATTTTGAATGTACATATATGTAGGTTAAACAAATCCTCTTATAGTTCTTTCCTGAATTATGGGGAAGACAACCAATCTCCTGAATCATATTATTGTGGGGTTTTTTGTTTTTGAAACAGAGTCTCGTTCTGTCACCAGGCTGGAATGCAGTGGCATGATCTCGGCTCACTGCAACCTCTGCCTCCCAGGTTCAAGTGATTTCCCCTGCCTCAGCCTCCCGAGTAGCTGGGACTACAGACATGCGCCACCATGGCTGAATTTTAGTATTTTAGTAGAGGTGGGGTTTCACCATGTCAGCCAGGATGGGCTCGATCTCTTGACCTCATGATCCGCCTGCCTGGGCCTTCCAACATGCTGGGATTACAGGCGTGAGCCACCATGCCTGGCCCCAAATTGTATTGTTTTACAGGGAAACCTAAATGATCTATGGTCATAGCAGCAGACTTAAGAAGAGAACTCAGATTACCCGATGGGCTAATTTATTGCTCCACTTGCAACTCGTGAACAGTGATAGCTACCAAGCTGCCTTGGGTTTTCCAGGGGTTCCATTCTTGGAGAGACAAAGAAGACGCCAAGCCAGAGACAGAAGCTGAAATAAGCACTACATCGCTTACCACTGTATTCCCGGGTTTTGTGTCCAAGACCATCATCTGAGTCACACAATAACAATTACACTAGTTGACTTCCTTGGCTAAGGGAAATGCCACTTACCTCTGTTTCATTTTGCAATCTTTCTGCCCCCATCTTTATATTTTCCATGTTGTATTAAAACCATTCATCCATTCAAAAAGGCAGTCACTGAGCACATATGATGAGCCAAACACAGTGTTAGCCCCTGACAATATGACAATGAACAAAGACCCTGACCTCAGGGAGTGCACATCCTAGCAAGGAGGACCAGCATTAAGCAAGTATCATCTTTAGAAGTACTTGGTTAATTAGAGTTGTGACCAGTGCCATCAAGGGAAAGTGCAGTTGGTAATGAGTCCATATAGATGAGGATCTTAACTAGGATAAGAGGTCAGGGAAGGTTTCTTGGAGGGTAGGAGCTGAAGAGTGAGTCAATGTTATTGCAGCAGAGAGAGGAGTAGGCCTAGAGTGTTTGAGACAGAAGACTCTGAGTTGGGGTTGGGGCAGGTACATTTGAGAACTTAGAAGAAAGCCAGTGCGACTGTAACAATGAATATAAAAAGCAGAGTGCAGCAAGAAGGGCTGGAGAGGAAATCAGAGGCTGAGGTGTGAACTGACACACTTGGTAGATCAAAAAAATACTAGAAGGGCGGGAAATCCTTAATACATTGAAGGATATTAAGTAGCAATGTGTCATAATCAGAGGTGCATTTTTGTAAGCTCACTTCCATAGCTTTAAGGAAAATCGTTTTCATGGGCAAAACCCATTCCAGGAAGCCATGTGAATATTGCTGTTAGTGACAAAAATACTCCAAGAGTAGAATTAACAAGACTTGGTAATTTGCTGCACATAAGCAGTGGTAATGAGGAGGAGTCAAGTGTATATCCAAGGTATGTCATTTGAGCAACTAGATGGGTGTTGAAAGTATCTGCTGGAGAAAGAGAAGGTTTGGGGGGTAAACAGAAGCATGAGTTCACTTTCAATGCATTCAAGTTGAGGTGTTTGAAGGCTTCTAGATGAAGATGTCATGTGAATAGTTCAGAGGAGAAGTTTGCTCCAGATAGAATTTGAAAGTCACTGGAGTATAGGTGGCACCTGAAGCCATGAGAGTAGATGGGATTGCCTTGGTGGCTGAATGAGGTCAAAGAGAAACTAGGAGCATGTGACACTGTGGGAATCAAGGGGAAAGAGCATTTCAAAAGACGGAATAGTCAACTTTGTAGAATTATTCTGAGAGGTGGCGTGATATGAGGACTACGACAGTACATTTCATTAAGCGGTATGAAAATAATTGGTCTTTAGCACAATAATGGACTTTGTGGGGCAGAAGGAGACGTTTGACTGGTTTGTTGAGACGTTTGTAGTCATGAGACAAATTGGAGCATGCGTAAGTGCTAACAGGAAGTAAAGAGGAAGAAATTGAAATAAAATCAGAAAGAGAGGAAATAATTCATATGAGAAAAACCTGAGGAGCTGGAGGGCAAAGCACATGCAAAATGGTTGGCCTTTGTGAGAAGGCAAAAAACTTTTGACTATATGAAGTCTCCATCTAATAGTTTCCATTTTTCCAGTGAAATGGAAAAATGCTGCGAATGAGAGTTGGAGACGTGAGAGGAATAGGATGCGTTTAAGAGAGATTTTGTAGAAACTAGGTGATCGGTCAGTTTTGAGGTTCTAGGTGAGGTCACTGACCATTAATTTGCAGAAACACAAATCTGCTCCTTTCTATTGTTCCTCCGTTTTTCTTAGCAGCCTGGGTGGAGACGTAGAGAAAATAGATAGGTTCATCGGGGTGGAAATTGCTGGACAATTTGCAAGAGTTGAATTGAAGTCATGGATCTTAGAATCTATCAGTAATACGAAGAAAACAGAAGGTAGAAAAAGGTGTTAGATGCATGGATAGGCAAATGAATCGGAGATGAAAGGGCAGGTCGACTGGAAGCGCCTAGTGAAAGAAGAGCTGTAATGGGATATGTGTAACAAGTGAAAGAAAGGAAGACTGTGAATGAGATACTGGATGTTTTTTGCACTGTTTGGTTCATGGAGTAGTTTCAAGTAAGGACAGCGGTCACAGAAGGACAATAGACGGATGAGCAGAGTGGCTAATTCCCTGGAGTGGTGAATAGTTTATTCAAGTAAATAGTAAATTCACCTAAGTGGAGAGCGAGTGGGCAGCCCAGCAACACCCCATCAGTGAAGGAGGAGGTGTGGCTTGGAGGCCCGGTGAAGGCTGCCGCAGGAATGGAGCACAAGCTGCAAAATGCAAAGCTTTAACTAGAGGGTGAAGGCATAGTACCCTGAAAGTGGCAACACGGGGACACTGACCCCACTCTCAAGCCTGGAGCTACCTGGAGTGTAACATGGTCCCTATTTGAGAGGCCAAAAGATGAAGCCTTGTTCTCAGAGAACTGGCTGGACTCAGCTGACATAAAAAGATGGAAGGGCTCTCCTGCCGAGAGTTTGGGAATCTAAAGGGAGGAAGCAGTTTATCACAGAATGGCTGTTGCACTGTGCATGGTATGTGGGTTTGTCAAGTGCAAACACACAGTGGCTTGGGTAGAGAAAATTTTTTTATATTTCTACTTCCAGAACCTAGAATACGGTGAGCCACCTGGACATACTAAATAAGTGTTTAACTCTTACTGAAATTTTGATTGCTCATTCTTTTGCTGATTCTGCATTCTACTGTGACATTCTGAATACCAGTCATCATTATGCAAAAATGTAGCTGCAGATCCAAAAGCTTGTAAGAGATTCATTTGTACCTGTATTTTCATCCGTACACATCTGCTGATTAGATCTCTCTTAGTAGCTTGTCTTGGTATCATTTGCTTCTTTTTTTTCCTAAAAGTGAAGCAATAGGACATGCTCTGGTTAATATAGTGTTTTGGTTACTCAGGTTGCAGTTAATTGAAGTGTGTTACACATGGAGCTTCACTCTCACAATGCTATGGAGGATTATGACATTTGATCTAGATGCCATCTGCCAGCTGAGGGATGGGGGAAAGAATAGTCACAAAATCACACATAAACTTTTAAAAACTGCCTTAACATTATACAGAAAAAAACGCTATATGTCCAGTTAATTCACTGTCATTATGTAAAAAATCTGCAGTTCTTTTTCCATTTCTCCTAGTAAATTTGAGCTCTATGAGCCTAATTTTTGCTTATAAACTTGATAAATGAAATGCCAGAGACTGGCTCTAAAAATACAAATCTTCACATCATGCCAAGAAAGGAGCTCAAGGAACATCCTCCTCCTCTTCTGCAGCTCTAGGGATGTGTTTTTGGTGCTGAGAATTACATTAAAAAATCCAATTTGATAAAGCATTAAATTGAGAACTTCCAGAGGATGTCAATCTTGTTTTCCTGTGAAATATGGGAGTTTACCTGACTATTCATAACCCTTTGTCCTATTCCATATATATAAATATCAGATCTTGGAAGGGCTGTTTGAACAAAAAGGTCTTATAAGATTATGAAGATTCTAGACACAAAAATAGCCTCCAAAGGAGCCCTGTAATTTTGATGGGTTCTCTTAGTTGATCATTTTTATTCTAGTAAGAATGATGTAATTAAAAACTTTACATAATTAACTATATAAATCTTTGTAAGAGTTTTAAGTAAAATCAGATAAGGATCATAGCATGTTTCTTTTCTCCATCAAAATTACAGGGCTCCTTTGGAGGCTATTTTTGTGTCTAGAATCTTCATAATCTTATAAGACCTTTTTGTTCAAACAGCCCTTCCAAGATCTGATATTTATATATATGGAATAGGACAAAGGGTTATGAATAGTCAGGTAAACTCCCATATTTCACAGGAAAACAAGATTGACATCCTCTGGAAGTTCTCTGCTTGACAGAATAACTGAAATCTTATGAATCTACAAGCTTTCTTATTTAGAAAAATAATCAGGGTTGGGTGCAGTAGCTCACACCTGTAATCCCAGCACTTTGGAAGGTGAAGGTGGGCAGATCATGAGGTCAGGAGTTCGAGACCAGCCTGGCCAAGATGGTGAAACCCCATCTCCACTAAAAATACAAAAATTCGCCAGGTGTGGTGGTGCATGCCTCTAATCCCAGCTACTAGGGAGGCTGAGGCAAGAGAAACGCTTGAAACCGGGAGGTGGGGGTTGCAGTGAGCAGAGATCACACAACCACACTCTAGCCTGTGTGACAGAGCAAGACTCTGTCTCAAAAGAAAACGATCAGTAATGACATAGTAGCAAGTGTTGAATTTAAACTCCTGCTGAAACAATAAAGCTGAAAAAATATGCAGAAGAATTATTCTTAGGCACTGGATGTCAATCATTGCAGAACTATGATCCTTGAGAGAAAGAAAGCAAAGTAGTTAAACCCCACATTCATCCTGGGTTTTTCCATGAAGATGCTTTTCAATCTGCTATCCAGGAAAAAGGAGTCCAAGGAGAAACAGGAAGAAACAGAGGTAGGAGTTAGGAGATGCTAAGACTGCAGGAATCTGGAAGGCTGGAGGGGAGAGTAACAGACAGTAGGGAGCCACTTAGAAAATACACAGTCATGTGTTGCTTAATCACAGGGACAAATTCTGAGAAATGAGTCATTAGGCAATTTTTCCACTGTACAAACATCATAGATGGTTTAGCTAACTGCACACCTAGACTATATGGTATAGCCTATTGCCCCTAGGCTACCAATCTGTATGCATGTTACTGTACTGAACACTGTAGGCAACTGTAACACAACAGTGATTTAAGTATTTGCATACTGAGACAAATCTAAAATAGAACATGAACTGTCAAATGCAGTATAAAAGATTTTAAATGGTGCAGCTACATAGGGCACTTACCGTGAATGGAGCTTACAGACCCAAAAGTTGCTCTGGGTGAATCAGCAAATGCGTGGTCAGTAAATGTGAAGGCCTGGGACATTACAGAACACTACCGCAGACTTTACAAATGCTGTACACTTAGGCCACGCTGGAATTATTCTTTTTAATTTTTCTTTCTTCAAAGACAATGTTAGCTTATGGTAACTTTTCACTTTATGCACTTACATTTTCTTAACTTTTTGACCCTTTTTAAATAACACTTAGCTTAAACACATTCTATAGCTGTAGAAAAGTATTTTCTCTTCATATTCTTATTCTATAAGCTTTTTTCTAGTTTTAAAATTTTTATTTTTTACTTTTTAAACGTTTCTGTTAAAAACTAAGACACAAACACACGCATTAGCCTAGGCCTACACAGGGTCAGGATTGTCACTATCACTGTCTTCTACCTCCGCCTCTCATCCCACTGGAAGGTCTTCAGGGACAACAGCACACGTGGAGCTGTCATCTCCTGTGACAACAATGTCTTCTTCAGGAACACCTCCTGAAGAACCTGCTTGAGGCTACTTTACAGCTACCTTTTTTCAATACAAGTAGAAGGAGCACAATCTTTAGAAGAGGTAATAGCCCAATAGCAAGGAACACACCTGATGTGGTTTGGCTCTGTGTCCCCACCAAATCTCATGTTAAAATGCAATCCCCAGTGTTGGAGGTGGGGCCTGGTGGGAGGTGGTTTCCTCACGGTTTCTCATGAGTGGTTTAGCATCATCCCCCTTGGTACTATCCTCACCATAGTGAGGGAGTTCTCACGATATCTGGTTGCTTAAAAGTGTGCAGCACCTCCTCCCTCCCTCCCTCCCTCCCCCACCTTCCTCTCTCTCTGTCTCTCTCTCTCTCTCTCTCTCTCTCTCTCTCCCCCTCCTGTTTTCACCCTCTGAAATGTCTAACTTCCCCTTTGCCTTCTTTGATGATTGGAAGTTTCCTGAGGCCTCCCCAGAAGCAGAAGCCTCCATGCTTCCTGTACAGCCTGCAGAATCATGAGCCAACTAAACTTCTTTTCTTTATAAGTTACGCAGTGTCATATATTTCTTTATAACAATGCAAGAATGAACTGATACAACAAGTAATACCCAAATGTTGCTTTTTAACTCCTTCGGTGTACTAGGCTAGACTGCTAAAGCGTCCAGTGAAAGGAACCTTGGCTCATGGAGGAGGTGATTGATTTCAGGCTGAGTCAGAGAAAACACAGGTTAATCCTGGAACAAACTGTGATGTCAGAAAATGCTGAAAGAGGATAACAACATGCGAAAAGGGCACAGGAGCTGATCTGAAAGAGCTCCTGCCAAAGTTATTTGAGCAAGAAGGTAAATAAAAATAGTATTGCATTATAAACCAAGGAATCAAATAAATATTGATGGGCCTATACTGATATACATGCATAACCGAATAAATAAATGGAATAGAAGAGATAATCTTCCTTAAAGGATCATTCCAATTAATAAATGCAGAAACAATAAGGGAAAGAGAAAAGCACTATTAGGATACCACAGTAATTTCTACAAGCTTCATTGACTAATGGATGCTAAAATTCGTAAGTGAAAGTGTAAGGAGAAACAGTATTTGCGTCATCTGAAAATATCCCCCCCCCAAAGAAATATCTACTAATTAAAAAGAAAAGAATAATCACTTTAAAGTGGAGAAATCTGAAAAGCACCATCTTAGCCAAATGATCAAGGTGAGCATCACCACTAATAAGACGGATCATTCTCCTTTATTCTCTGATATGTTACACATCATCTCCATGTAATTCTTTTCAATTATATATGACTTCAACCTCATCATGAGAAGACATCAGAAAAATTCAAATCGAAGGGCACTATACATAACCAACCCATGTTTTTCAAAAGTCTCAAGGTCACGAAAGACAAGGAAAAACTGAAGAATTGTCACCGTTTAGGGAAAACTAAAGAGACCTGATAACTAAATGCAATGCAGGATCCTGGATTAGCGCCTGACAGAAAAAGGACATTAGCAGTAAGACTTGTAAAATGTGAATAGAGTCTATAGTTAATTAATGATGTATCAGCGTTAATGTATTAGCTGTGCTACGGTTATGGAAGACGCTCACATTGAAGGAAGCTGTGTCAAGGGCATGCCGTATTCGCAACGTGGATAATATCACCTCCAAGAGATGAAAACTGGATCTTGAGGGGGTAAAAAAAAAACTTAATCTTTTTATTTTGTTTTATTTTTATTTATTTGTTTATTTGAGACGGAGTCTCACCCTGTCGCCCAGGAGCGATCTTGGCTCACTGCAACCTCCACCTCCTGGGTTCAACCGATTCTCCTGCCTCGGCCTCCTGAACAGCTGGGACTACAGGTGTGTGCCACTACGCCTGGCTAATTTTTTGGATTTTTTTTTTTTTAATCTCAGAGCTAACCAGGTGTGGTGGCTCAAGCCTGTAATCCCAGCACTTTGGGAGGCCGAGGAGGGTGGATCACGAGGTCAAGAGGTCGAGACCATCCTGGTCAACATGGTGAAACCCCGTCTCTACTAAAAATACAAAAAATTAGCTGGGCATGGTGGCGCGTGCCTGTAATCCCAGCTACTCAGGAGGCTGAGGCAGGAGAATTGCCTGAACCCAGGAGGCGGAGGTTGCGGTGAGCCGAGATCCCGCCATTGCACTCCAGCCTGGGTAACAAGAGCGAAACTCCATCTCAAAAAAAAAAAAAAATCTCAGACCTATGTGAGAATTCTCACTTTTTTATGTGCAAAGCACACATATGTACAATACATAAACAGACACACTGAACATCTGTAGTATTAAAATTTCATGGAGAGAGAGAGAAGCGGTTAGGGAAAAATGACTTCTTAGGGGGATGTTGTGTATACTTTAGGTGTTCCATGTAAGGTCATATGCCTCATAACCACATTTCAGTCAATGAGGGATCATTTAAACAACGGAGGTCCCAGATTATAATATTGTATTTTTACTGTATCTTTTCTATGTTTAGACATACGAATATTTACCGTTGTATTAAGTAGCCTGTACCATCTAGGTTGGTGTAAGTACACTATGTGATGTTCACACAATGTCTAAATTGTCTGATGTCTCATCTCTGAGAATGTATCTTCATTGTCAACCGATACATCACTGTAATTCGAATCTGTTTCACTTAAGTTAATGCCATCCGCCTGTTTTTATTACAGTAACTTACATAAACCATCAAGTGTCAGTGAGTGGAGTGGGAACTCTCAATTCAGAAAAGCAGCCAAGGGAAGAAAAATAGGGCTAAAAAACATATGTAGCTCCTGTCTCCCTGTGTTTCAGCCATAATCAACTGTCTCGCTGCGTTATGGTTCCTTCTACCTTGGACATTTGCTAATAATATTTGTTTTTCCAGAAATACCCCCCCAGCTCACTTGACTTGCGTAACACCTGCCAAAGAATACAACATTTCAAGTCAAATATGCCTCCCTCCGTGAGAACGTTCGTAGCCACTCAGTCCGGATTAACTATCAAGCACCCTTATTACACAACCTTAGAGCTTCCTGTGCTGCTTCTCCTTTGCTTTTACGGGGTACAGTGTGATGTTTTGATACATATATTCTGTGGGAAATGATCATATTTTCTGTATTGCCTTTCAGGGTCAGCAAAGCCCCTCCCAAGGCCAGCTGATTCCTAGAGACAGCAAATGACTCCCCTGTGAGCAGCCATTTATATAAAAATCAACCAATCCAGAACCCAGATTCACCACCTACCTCCTTTATTAAGCTCTTACAAGTTGAACTAATATTCTGCCCTTATCACTCCAGGACCAGACAGCTCCTACAGCTCAGAGCCCCATGAAATTATTCAAACTAGCCAATCTCAAACATACCTCTTCTGCTTACTCTGCCCAGCCCATTTCTTCCAACAAAAACCACAATAAAGGCTCTCACTTGCGCTTTTTCATCCTCACTCCTTCCGCTCCTGACTTAAGACCTTGGTGCTTCCCCATGTGGCAGGTGGCCCTTCCCCATATGCCCACTCCTCCTGGGAGTGATGAGAAAACACTGTCTTTTCAAAGGCAACCCTCTCCTGATCTGGTTGGCTTCACCATGCCTGAACAAAAACAAAATCACAAGTACTTTTTTTTTGTGGGGGGACGGAGTCTCACTCTGTCACCAGGCTGGAGTGCAGTGGCACGATCTCGGCTCACTGTAACCTCCAACTCCCAGGTTCAAGTGATTCTCCTGCCTCAGCCTCCTGAGTAGCTGATACTACAGGTGCACACCACCATGCCCAGGCTAATTTTTGTATTTTTAGTAGAGACAGGGTTTCACCATGTTGGCCAGGATGGTCTTGATTTCTTGACCTCATGACCCGCCCACTTGGCTTCCCAAGTTCTGGGATTACAGGCATGAGCTACCACACCCCACAAGTACATCTTAAAACAGGAAGATTCCTTACCCACCCAGAGCACAGCTGACACCAGGTATTACCTAATGCTTTAAGGGTGACAGAAGCAACAGAAGCCAGAGCGGCCTGCACAGCCAATATGAGAAGTCACTCTTGGAGCCCACATGATGGGATCTAATCCCAGGGCCTAGTCCAGCCCAGCAGACTTCCAGGTTGTGGGAAGCAGCTTAACCCCTATCCACAAGACTCTCTGGCCTCCCAACCCTTCCATGTCCCGGCCCCCAGTTATTATTCTTTTTTCTTTTTTTGAGACAGAGTCCCACTTTGTCACCCAGGCTGGAGTGCAGTGGCAAGAACATGGCTCAGTACAGCCTTGACCTCACAGGCTCAAGTGATCCTCAAGCTTCAGCCTCCCAAATAGTTGGGACTATGGGCACACACTACCATACTTGATTAAGTTTTGTATTTTTTGTGGAGACGGGGGTCTCCCCATGTTTCCCAGGCTGGTCTTAAACTCCTGAGCTCAAGTGATCTGCCTACCTCGGCCTCCCAAAGTGCTGGGATTACAGGCATGAGCCACCACACCTGGCCAGTGGCCCCCAATTCTTTTGGCTGAGTGAGAGAAGGGGACGCTCATTTTTCACTCCAGGATGATCCATCATGGGAATATCTTTTGAGTAGTCTTTTAAGTAGAAAACACTTTATCAAACTTCAGAGTGACTTTCATGGCCCAGATGAAACAGTCATAATAGCTAATGCCATGTTTTCCCAGTAGTTGAGTTCCTCACTATTAAATAGCACTATGTACAGAACCCCAAAACCCTAACCTAATTCCATATTTAGGAGAAAAAAGTTTATGTCATCCAGAGAACAGTCCTATTAAAGCCACATTATGTTCGCTGTACTATAAAGATCATATAATAGGTTAACCAACTGCCCTGCATTTAGATTTTTTATGACTCCAAAAAAAATGGATATCTTGTATTTGTTAATCTAAGGAATTCATTTTAGTAACTGTCTCAAAGTAAAGGAAGTCAAAGCCTCTATCACCAGACTGATAAAACTGCCAGCCACTTCCAAACAGAAGTTCTCCCACTTACAAGGGAAATGAGAGTTCCGTCTTTATCAGGCACCCCTCTCGAGGGTAGGGACTTGAAGTTAACCTTGGTGATTCTGAGGAAACCACAAGATTCTCTATCGTAGTGATAAAAAACCCATTGGACTTGAAGGCACAGAAGCCCTCATCCATCTGAGTGCAAACATTATGTGGAGAAATGAGCTCTGCTCTGCGCTTGCAGGGGTAGTGGATCTGGTAGCTGAGTCAATGCCTCTACACTCCTGCTGCTTCTTGGGAGTGCTATGGTGTCTATATCTCAGTACAGGTTAAATTCCTTCTACGTGTAATCACTAGCTCTCTGGGTGTTGCCACTGGGTCACTGTAGCAGGTAACACAGAGCTGAATGGAAACAAGTGCAGGAGGGGCATGCCGGCATGCCACAGGAGGAACTGGGAAAGGACGCATGTCTGCTGCCAGAGGAGGAGCTGGGAAAGGACGCAAAACTCCAAGATTTGGGCTTTGTTGTTCCAGTAATATCCCCCTCACATAAATCCAACTGTATGAGCAAAAAAGTTGTTCCTAGATAAAAAGAGAAACTCTTTTTTTAAACCATGACAAATAATAAAAAAAAGAAATAGAGAAAAAAAAGCAGCAACAGCATGTACCACCATCCATCTAGCTCCAGGAATCTGGAGGAAATCTGAGTGAGGGCTCAGAGCCTCTCTTTGGGCTTAGACAATTCCCAAACGTTGGCAGGAACATTCCACGAGGCCCCCTGCCCGCATCAGAATAAACGTGCTGTCGTCTGTTCTTGTTTTCTCCATCCTTGTACGTCCTCCCAGTCTTGACTATTCTTACAGAAAGTTTTCCCTGGGATATAGTGGAAGCCCCATACAAAAACGTACACTTGTCACTTAAAGATGAAAGTATAAAATGAAGTAGAATAAAAGCCAGTGGCATCCTCTTACCTTCAAATAGCAGTTGTGTGAAACAGATCCCGCGTCTACACCAGGTCCCTGAGGGTTTGAGCCTACCTCAATGCATCCAGAATATATAGGGAGAGGTTATAGATCTGGGTTTTTCATTACACAAGGTGTTTTTGATGAGTCCTCAGCCAAGATCCACTTAAAAACAAAAGCCACACAAAGCCTACAAAAAGGCCACACAAAGTTTGAACAAAAGGCTAAAGAAAGACTAAACAAAAGCCAAAGAAAGTTTAAACAAAGAGCGAAACAGAGACAAAACAAAGGCCAAACAAAGACAAAAACAAAGAGCAAAAGAAAATCTAAACAAAAGCTAAGCTAAGCTACACCCATATCGCCCACACACGCACACCCCCACCTTCACTCTATGGCCCCCCAACATTACCTATTCCAGCCTCCCACCTCCCGCAGAACCAACACCCCACGTTCCCACATGAAAACTCAGCCCCCAATGTTCATTGATTAAGGTTGTTGGTCTACAGGGGGTGAAATTCCAAGATTTGGGCCTTGTTGTTCCATTAACATTCCCAGTTAAAAGTCCAGTTAAGCCCCATGCTAGGTCCAACCACACTACACACCAGCTCACCCCACCAAACCACACACCCTTCCCACCAACGTGCTACACACCACAGTGCAATCCCACCCAGTACCCCACACCCCATTCACACATCACAAGCCACACACCCTTCCCACCAACATGCTACACACCACAGTGCCATCCCACCCAGTACCCCACACCCCACTCACACATCACAAGCCACACACCCTTCCCACCAACGTGCTATGCACCACAGTGCCATCCCACCCAGTACCCCACACCCCACTCACACATCACAAGCCACACACCCTTCCCACCAACATGCTATGCACCACAATGCCATCCCACCCAGTACCCCACACCCCACTCACACAGTTGCAATCACACTGACAAATTCCAGGAGTTTCTATACTCCATGTAGATTAGATACTCATCCACACACTTCCTTCCCTAAAACACTATATACACCCATAGATACACCCCAAAACTAACATTCACATGCCCTTGTACACTTGATTTAGCAAGAGTCTAATCCAGTCCAGTTACAACTAACATTGAAAGTGGAAGGTTCTATGACAATTACCCTATGCATTCACATTTATAGAAACATGTATAAGTCATCTCTTATGTTGAATAGTTTCTGCAAATGATGAACCTCATTCAATCAACATTTTATTGGCTTCAGTCTTAGATGCTGGCATTTTCTTATAATTATCCTAAAATGTGGGGCCACACCTTTCTGTGCTCTGTTAAATGTCATGGGTCCTGTAAACTCTGCTTTTGCTGTTTATTTTATATACATAGAACTACCCACTAATGATTTGAAAACTGAAAGCTTACTTCTGAAACCAATCCAGCAAACAGCAGCCTTGCCTTTTAAATTCCCAGAGCCCCCTGCATGACGGTGGAATATAAATGTCAACATTACCACCAAGTTTCTCTTTAGGCTTTTATCTCAGTAAAGAATCAGCCAGGAAACCTTGAAGGGGTAATCTACTGAGACTACAAACATTGACTATAAATCTCTTTGAACACTAACATACTCGATTTTGTTTTTGTTTTGAGACAGAATCTCACTCTGTCCCCCAGGCTGGAGTACAGTGGTGTTATCGTGGCTCACTGCAACCTCCACCTCCCAGATTCAAGCAATTATCCTGCCTCAGCCTGATGAGTAGCTGGGACTACAGGCACCCACCACTAGCTAGGCCTGGCTAATTTTTTTTTTTTTTTTTTTTTTTTTTTTTTTGAGACGGAGTTTCACTCTTGTTACCCAGGCTGGAGTACAATGGCGCAATCTCGGCTCACCACAACCTCCGCCTCCTGGGTTCAGGCAATTCTCCTGCCTCAGCCTCCTGAGTAGCTGGGATTACAAGCATGCGCCACCATGCCCAGCTAATTTTTTGTATATTTTTTTTTTTTTTAGTAGAGATGGGGTTTCACCATGTTGACCAGGATGGTCTCGATCTCTTGACCTCATGATCCACCCGCCTCAGCCTCCCAAAGTGCTGGAATTACAGGCATGAGCCACTGTGGCTGTCCTCTTCATACACTAATTTTGTAGTTAGTTAAACATTCTTTCTCTGCATAATGAGTGATAGGCATATGCTGGTTGACTCGCTCCCACTGCGAGGCCTGTATTTTGATTGTGTTGTAGTGATTGTGACTGAGGGCTGGGGGGTCGAGTAAGACCGTTTAGAGCTCGGGCTCTGGAGGCCCTGACATTGGGATCATCACAGGGCCTACTTCAAAAATTCACGTGAACACTAAATCAGTTAAGACGTGTGCGCTGGCGGAAAGAATGCCTGACACACAGAGTCCTGCACCAATGTCACTCTTATGGCCCTGGCCCTAAAGAAGGTCACAAACAGCGGTGGGTGGCGCTTGTAAGGACTTGCTTTCTATTCACAAAATAACTGGAGACTAATTCAGGCTATTTAAAAAATACAAGATCTAGTAGATATATTATAAAGACCTATCTTTATTAAAGGAGCCTCTGCTTCTCAAACCTTCCCAACAAAAGTTCTTAATGACACATTTTGGGGAAGACACACCTTTGATCTACTCCACTATATATAGAATGATACACAATTTATGCATCCAAAGTATGGCAGTTCCACAAAATGCTCGCAATGCCATCTCTTTCTATTCCTACTTAAACACTGGTGTTTGCCCTCCGTGCGGCAGCACTCTCACTCCCAGAGCAGCGCTCAGGAGGCCACATCTGAGTCAGTGTCACTCTTCTTGAATGGCAGCCAGTGTTCCACATAGAGCAAGACCGCCCAGACTCCAAGGGAACTCACAGTCACAATGAAGAAAGTTGCTAACACTACAGAGGATTTTCCCAGAAATTTTGGCTATAATTGACAATCCCCACATGTTATGAGTTAAAATGTGTCCCATCCAGCCAGGCACGGTGGCTCATGCCTGTAATCCCAGCACTTTGGAAGGCTGAGGCAGGCAGATCACCTGAGGTCAGGAGTTCGAGACATGCCTGGCCAACATGGTGACACCCCATCTCTACTAAAAGTACAAAAATTAGCCAGGCATGGTGGCGGGCAGCTGTAATCCCAGCTGCTCGAGAGGCTGAGACAGGAGAATCACTTGAACCTGGGAGGCAGAGGTTGCAGGGAACTGAGGTCACACCACTGCCCTCCAGCCTGGGCAACAAAGAACGAAACTCTGTCTCAAAAAATAATAATAAACAAATAAAATAAAATGTGTCCCATCCCCCACCTCTCGAATTCCTGTGTTGAAGTCCTAATCCCTAGTATCTCAGAATTTGGAATGAGGCCAGGTGCAGTGGCTCATGACTGTAAGCCCAGCACTTTGGCCAAGAATTCAAGACCAGCCTGGCCAACAGAGCAAAAACCCGTCTCTACTAAAAACACAAAGAAATTAGCCAAGTGCGGTGTCATGCACTTAACATTACAGAGGATTTTAGTTCCCAGCTACTCGGGAGGCTAAGAATCAAGAATCGCTGGACCTGGGAGGCAGAGGTTGCAGTGAGCCAGATTGCACCACTGCGTTCCAGCCTGGGTGACAGGGCAAGACTCTGTCTAAAGAAAAAAGAAAGCAAAAAGCATTTGGATTCAAATAAGGATTTGAAGACAGACCACAGAGATGACCAAGTTAGGAAGTCGTTAGGGTGGGCCCTGATGCAGCATGACTGGTGTCCTTACACAAAGAAGAAATTGGGGCAGAAAGACACATTCAGAGGGAGGACAATGTGAAGACACAGGGAGAAGATGGTCATCTACAAGCCAGGGAGGGAGCCTGGAACAGACCTTTCATTCACAGCCCTCGGAAGACACCAGCCCTGCCCACACCTGGACCTCTAACTTCAAGCTTGGAGAACTGTGAGAAAATTCATTTCTGTTGCTTACGTCGCCCAGTTAGTGGTGCTTTTTATCAGCAGCCCCAGCAAACGAATACGCCACAGTGACAATCAGTACTATTTTAACTGGTTTCTACATTTATCAAAATAACATTTCTGCAAAGTTATAATAATATCAAAAGGCTTATGTTGGAAAATAGTAGTTCCTCGTGCCGCCTCACCCCACTCAACACCCAGGCCACAGAGGCAACCATTTTTAACTTTCCTTAGCTACCTTTTCTCTATTTATTTCCATATTGCTAAATAATTCACACAAATAGCCATTTATATACCTATTTATGGCAGGTTATTGGCTTCCTTTTGAGGGTGTAGTTTTCTTCCATTCTACTTTCTCCTCTCCCTTTTCCCTTAGCTACTGAATATAGTTAGTTAGTATTTATAGTACAATAAATATGTATTATTTCCTACAGCACTTTTAGATTAACTATGACTGTTCCCTTTCTTTGTATAACTTTCTTGTTCCTTTCTTGTTAATAATCGCCCCCTTCTAAATTTCATTCATTTATTTTAATCTGCTTAGTTTTAAATGTTACTTTTCACTCATTTTTCCCCAAACATTCCAACAGATCTGTCAACCATCTATTAATAATGTTTAAGCATTCCGATACACTGAACGATCTTACACATCTTTGCCTTTTGTAACCCTCTCTCACCTCGTTCGGATTCCAGTCTGGTTGCTCTCGAGAGCAGGTGCAGGCCTGGGTCCTCCCTTTAGGCTTTGCTGGGAGAGATTGCCCTGTCCTGGACCCCATGCCATCCTCATCTTTGGCTTGCTCCCTCATTTTTCTGAAGCATGCCCTCCAATACCTTTCTTAGAAGTATAGATGTATACTCTTTCTAAGAAAGGTATTGGAGGGCATGCTATATAGAATATATATATTTTCTTTTCTGAGATGGAGTCTCTCTCTTGTTGCCCAGGCTGGAGTGCAATGGTGTGATCTTGGCTCACTGCCACCTCCGCCTCCCAGGTTCAAGCGATTCTCCCGCCTGAGCTCCCGAGTAGCTGGGATTACAGGTCATTCAGTTTCTTCAAAGAAAAGCTGTCTCGTTTTCAGCCTGCCAGGGGCAGGGAAGATACAGAAGTTCCAACACCAAACACCATGCTGTTGATATTCTGTGATCAGAGCAGACAAGGGATCTGAGGGACCCACATGAGTGTGTGGACTTGTTTTCTTTATCAACCCTGCCCATCACCCCTCATTCTCACT